ACATGGAATAAAGAGTGGATGCATAAAGAGGCGGGCCTCCTCTAATTAACATGGCATTATGAAATGGCTATTAACAAGTAAAGAAGGATGATAGATGATAGTGTTGACCAATGTTCTCTCATGTATTTGATGGAAATTAGAGAATCCATACTTTACCATTTTGGGGAGTGTTCCTCTACTAGTAAAGTGTGGAAGTAGGGGATTTACATTCTACAATTAATGGCAAACATAGACCAAGGTGATAGACAACAAAGAATGACAATTTGAAATGCAATTATGCGAGTGCAATATGAGGGACATGAAGAAAGGAACCACAGTATGGGCATTGCGACTGGCCATCTTCCAAGCCCCACACAGTTCCAACCCTTGTAGAAACATTATCTTTTTGCCTACAGGATTCCCAAAAGCTTAAAAGCTGTGAGTAGAATTTGGCTACTGTTGAGAGGTGTGATTGTCTAGACTCTTTGGATCAAGAGAAACAATGCTGCATTCAATGGTGTGCAGTGGGCGGAGGAAAAATTATACCAAACCATTTGGTTGCATATCATCAACTATGGGAGAAATGCTTGGTTTAAATCCTAACAGCAAATGTGCAACACAACACTGCAAGCGGAAGAGTGGGCCTAGAAGTTCTGTCAACAGTGGTGCAAGAACAACATTCTCTTTTTGTGTTGTTGATCTCTCTGTTTTTCATTCTCTTTTTCTCCCCTTCCAAATTCCCTTCCAACTGAAACCTCAACTTCTCCCATGGGCTATTACACCAGTCTAATGAGCCTTTGGGTATAAAGGAAAAAGGAAACATTGAGCACAGGAGAAGACAGCAGAAGCAGCAGCAGCAGAGGACAGAAGGGGAACTGGAGGAAGTGGAGTGGAGTGGGCAGCCGTCAACTGACCGAGTTAAAAACAAAATGAATGCAACAAGGGATCTTGTCTGGGAAAGGGGAAGGGATGGATGTATAGATGGATGAAAACTCTCCATCCATTTTTTTTGTCCCTTGATCTCCATGTGACAAAACAAAAGAAAAAAAAAAGTTTTTTGAGAGAGAGAGAGGCTCTGAAAACAATTACAAATTTCCATCGATCAGTCAGTCAGTCAGTCAGTGCATTCAATGCGCTGCCAGAGCTTGAAAAATTAAATGAATACAAAAACGCCATTGCTCTGTTCAAAATAGCAAAACAAGATAATCATACAGATTATATAATCATACGTTTTTAAATATATACATGTATGTACAGATATATTGGTATCTACTATTTATATATGAATTTTCATTTCAGTGTCTAAAGGAAGGCCGAGGAAGGGACACCCAGTGGGCAGGCTTCCTTTGTCCGTCTTATTATGTGCCTATTCTCCCCTTCTGGATTTGGGTTTCCCTCCTACTGGTGCACATGGAGACCACCCAACATTCCTTTCATGGAGAAAGTCCAATGGAACCCACAAACCATGAAATCATTTAATGCAATAAGTGAAAGGATACATATAGAAATGGCAAACAAAGAATGAGGTTTTCTATGTCCTCCAATGTAAAAGCTTGTCTTGAAGTTTGTGTAATCACAGCATCTCATCTATATGTAGACACATTAATTATATGCATGTGTATATATATATATATATATGCAAACAAAAGTTATTGTGCATATGTATGCAAATGCATGAATGTGGTGTGGGACTTTGGTCCAACTGGGCTGCAAAAAGCCAACACCCAAAGCCTTCCCATGTGGAGCAGATAACATGGCAGCAACACAGTGAGTCTTAAGGCTCAGGATTTGAATTCAAATCACATCATATTCAGGTGCTATTTGGAGACAAAAGTTTGTTGGAAGGGGTGGGGAGGGTAAAGAGGGGTTTCAATGTTTTATGCCATGGCCTATTCCTATAATAGACTGAGTTGGTGCAACACATTATCAATTAGCAACAGCAAAATAGTCTGATGCTGTTTCCAGCCTCAGTGTATGATGCCCCTTTTCTTTAATCTTCCTATTCTTATTCCCTGCTCCTCTTTTCTTCTTTATTGTTTCCTACAGTAATGCTCCAAATTCATTGAATTCTGTGCACAGCCTGTGGTGAAGGGAATTTTCTGAAGCTGATAAAGAATCTCACACTTCAAGGTATTGTGGGTCATACCTGTAATGTGTGTATGTGTGTGTTTATATATATATATATGTAGAGATAAATAAATAAATATATATATATAGATATATATATATACATACATATGATTCTTTAAATTTATTTATTGTTTGGCACTTTGGGGGATTTAAAGTTTCACATTTATAGCTTTAATTAACCCGAATCTAGCTATCATCCCATACTGTGAAATAAAATATCATTTTTTCACCTTGTGGCTTACCCAATAAACTCGGTTCAAGACACAGTTCTCAAAATATGTGCATGACAGTTTTATTTATCAAATTCTCTGACACCATTTAGTCAACACACAACCCTAAATATATACATAAATCTTCACTTGATGCATCATATGGAGTGTGATTGCTTCATCCATGTGAATTTCACATCTGTTTCATAAAATATGTAAGAAAACAATTTATATGTAGAATGTGCAGTGGGTGAATAAAGAAATACAATACAACTGAGAATATGAAAGAATATATATATATATATATATATATGCATACATACATACCCACACACACACTCACTTTCTGCAAGATCATTCATGAATTCATTTTTAAAGCTGATTTTTTGTTTTTATCTATCCACATAGAGAACAACAATGAGCTCGTAGAGTTAAAATAATAATGCATCCATGTGAATAATATACTCATCTCCTTTTAATGGTTATGCATTGTTCCATTAATCCCTTTCAAAATTGAGATGCCTTGCCAAACTAGTTGTCAGACTACTTGTAAAACACTTCCTATTGCTTCTCTTCATGAAATCTACAATCACCACATTGAAATTTCTTGTCAAGTTCAGAGAATGAAGTATGGGTCAAACCAGTCACGAAGGGATGATTTCATCATCTAAATTACAGAAGCTTTTGTTACAGTCAGCCAGTGCCATTCAATTGGATGCTCACCATGGTGCCCAACCACAACTGTCGGAACTGGGCTTGACTCTGGAACAAGGAACCTGTTCCATGGCCAACTTCACACGACTTTTTGGCAGTATGGGGGGAGATTGCAGATGGAAGCAATGCATCCCCCCCAGGCAGGGGAAATTTAATACACAAGTCAGAATGGTTGGTACCACCAGGTGCTCTCCTGGATTATAGAGCCTGCCTTGGTCTCTAGTTATATTTTGAACTGACCTTACTGTTCTCAGAAAGATTAGGCTTCTGGCATACAGTTTTGCACTGCAGTCTTCTTCTCTCTTGAGATTCAAATATAAATATTAAAATAAATAAATAAATAAATAACCCACCCTTTGCATGGGGAATGGTGAAAAAAACCATCCCTTCTTCTCCCCTCTCTCTCTCAGACACTTTCAAAAAACCATATAAGTTACATTGATACAGAATGAGGTTGACCCAATGGTTTGGATTAATAAATGAATTCTGGACAGAGCATCTTGGATCCTACCACCCAAGGGTGTGTGCAGAGACCATATCCTAGTTGACCTACTTGAGTAATGCTAACATGAAAACCTTGAACCTTACAATTGATTGGCATCTGGGAGTACTAAAACTCCACACGCTCTGAGACTTTAGAGTTTCATGTAATTTTCATATCCCATTGTGCTCCAATCCTACTCTTATCCATCCACAATTTATTCCGCCTTTTTCGAAAATGTTGTGCAAAAATCATTCTCTAAATTTGTTTTCATTGCATGGAAAAAAGAACTTAACTATACATTGCAATGTTCACTTACCAAACTGTGGAAATGGACAGATAATGTGCAAAAAAGCAAAGAGAAAGTCAAATATGGGGGTTGCGAGAGTATTCAAGGTCACCTTTTTCTTTTTTGCATCTTTGTCATAACTTTGGAGGGGATTTTCCACTTCGCCACATTATCACCCAAACTCCTGTCAAGGGTCGAAACATTTGGGATGGAATTTAGCGTGCAGACACAGAGCTACAGTCCAATGCGTGTGTGCATGGATACGAGGGGGCACGATTATGGGCTTCAGATCCTCTAGGTTTGCTTCATGTTTTGCTGGATGTCGACAACTCTAGGGCTGGCTCCGTGTTGGCTCGACGTCGATTGCTCAAGGAAAAAGGGGACCTTTGTCGACGAACAACGGGCGAGAGTGTTTTGGACCAGGATTTCTGTGGTACAGAACCACCTAGACTTGCTTTCATTTTCGCGTCCTGGATCTATAAAGAGAGACCTGCAGAGAATAGAAAAGGAGGTGACAGTCAAGGAGATTGACCATCACGTTGTTTTCCTAGTTATGGAGCCTGGACCTACTTCCCCCTGTTGAACTTTTGAGACGAGCCCCTCCCTCCAAGTCTAAGAATAATCCCAGCTACAGATTCGACTAAATTTAGAACATGGGACTTTTTTGTTTGGGCGTAGGTGCCAGTTTCGGCGAACTGCAAATGGATCTCGGGTGGCTATGAACCCGCCGATCCTCGCACTCCTTTTCTTTTGTCAGGCAATTAATAAATTCCGGTATATTGGTTCCGCTTGCTTCCGATCGCAGTCTGCGCGGCACTGATCTCGCCTGTCACGGCATCCGCACCACTCTTACCATTCTACCGCGCTACTTACCCCCTTTCAGACATCATTTTACCGAACTCATCTTCTTCTGTTTGCTTCTGGAGCAGCACCCAAACTGTTCTCCTGTTCCATGTACACACGGGTTGGGATCAAGGTAAATGGCCTCTTATGCTCCTCCGCGTGCGATTAGCAGCGATTCCATAGGTTTAAACTCTACTGTGGAAATGCAGAGTCCTGAAAAAAAGTCACTGGAGGTAATTTTTGCGAGTCCTTTCCAGCCGTTGGGATGACACCCAACAGTAATTTTTTTGAAAACATTCTGAGCAGGAAGTGTTTGTAGCGCGGCAACGAAGAGGGATATGTGTATTATACTCTAGGGAGTCAAAGCAAGAGAGGGATAGATCGTTTTTATGATGAGTGAAAGCGGACACATTTCTAGATTGGTTCGAAATATAGATCCTTTAAAGCTCTTGTTGGACTGTTGTGAGCTGCTTCTTATCGTTGGTGGCTTTGTAACGGTGTTTTGTGCAGCCTCTGGAAACCGTCCCCTCATCACTGTGGACAGAGAATCGCCACTGGTTCAGCTGTCTACTAGTCTCCGTAGGTGCTTTGTATTGAAAATCCACAGCCGTCACCGTGCCGAATGTGAACCTCGACAGCGGCAGCTCTGTGGCTTCTAGCCGTCTTTGATATGTAGCAATTCGGAGTGATTGCTCGTTGAAGGCTGTGTGATCCTGTCTGGTACTTCTTCTGATCTGTTGGTTTCAGCACAACTTCTGTCGTTAGTGATTGGTGTCGCTCTTAGCACGACATGGCAAAATTGCTTCGTAGCATGTATTTCGCTTGTTGCCATTAAGATCGGTCCCATGTTAATGGGTCCCGGGTTCACAGCTATTCGTCATTTAATCTAGGGGCTCCTCTTGTTGCTTCGAAAGGGTACACAAAGCTGAGAATCTTCTTGTTGTGTCATGTGCGCGAAGGGATTTTGGTTTCAAACGAACTTCCTTATAGAATCCTATTTGCTGCGAGAAAGAGTAGAATTTTGGCAGTGTCTCTTCTCCATCGCTCTTAATCTTGCGGAATGCCTGCAATTGAGACAATGTGAAGAGGAGCTGTAATGTACCATGATTTGAAACTTGGATATAATGCTCACCTCACTATAATTGCGAAGCAAGTGGGTAAAGAGGGTTTGAGGTCAAATAGCATGCATTCGATGAGGGGAGGTTGCTCGTAGTGGTGTATATTCTGCAAGTATTCTCCGGCTTTTGGAGCTGAACATTCCAATCCTCTCAAACACAACCACCTGTTATTACATGAAAGTTTTGAACTTTGCTCCCGCTTAATTTTTAGTCGATCATGAAAGTTGCTCAAGGTGAACATGTAGACCTCTCCTGAAGTGCCTTAGCAGAGTCAAGCGACAGTTGCCTCCGCACATGAGCATTACTCGGACAAATCGTCATGGCACAGGTTAGAACCCCATCCCACAACCATGTGCAATCTTCTAAAATTGGAGGATGCACGGGTGCCTTCTTCAACCTCTTCGACTGGAACTCGAGCCACCGCCCCGCTTCGATCAAGCGTCTACCTGCAGGTGAGCTTGTGCCCGGGTTTAAGCTGATTGTATGGACACGCTTCGATATCTACGAAGTCTATTGTTGGAATGCTTGTGGATTTCCTGGTTTGCTTATTTCGCAATGCAGGAGTTCAGGGGTGCACACTTCAGGGGATTTTATTTCCCCCCTGGAATAGCCCCATCAGTCTTTGCATCGTTCTTCATTTGTGAGTGTAGTTTTTTTTTTTTTTTTTTTTTTTTTTTTTTCCCCTAAGTGTATTGCACTTGGCATTGACTAGTCTGATTCGCTGTCCTGCTGTTAGTACGGCAACTGCTATTATTCGACACATTACGGTGTCAGTTGAACTTGTTCTGATACAACTGTGTTGATAAGCAGAGCGGCCAGAGAAATCACTGGGAAGATCCACGAGTTTTCGGGATGATCGCAGTGCGGGCACGAGAGGTGAAAAGCACCGAAATGCCTCACCAGCCGCCAAGACCTCCTCACTCGGGAAGGATCGTGAAGTTACTTCCGATGGTGATACAAACACCAAACCACCAGGATTGGTTGCGCGTCTCATGGGGTTGGAGTCTTTACCGGAGGGTCCTCCCCATTCCAAACACCGTCGATCGCGAACCTTCTCAGGAAGCGAATCAACCCTTCTTCCAGAGAAAGCCAGTCGTCCAGAGAAGTTAGCACTGCGAGACTTGTTAAAGCAGGATCACAAATCTTTGGATAACTCCCTGAGGGACGAAATCCTTGTGGTTCCTGTGGAGTACAAGGGGACGCCGGAGACAACATCAAAGAGGGATGTTTTTCCATCGCCGGTGAAGAGCATAGTAAAATATGTGGATTCCTCACCAGGATCTTGTCGCTCCGTCTATGCTCTACCATATGTGCACAAGGATGAGAAGTCGCCATTTCTGGCTCGCTTACACACCTCGCCAGCGCACCCTAGCCCGGTGTTGCAACCCTCAAAATGCCACAACCAGATGGACTCTCCAGTTAAGAATAGCCCAGCAACAAAAGCTAAAAGAGCTTCTCGATTCCTCGAAGCTGCTGTGAAGATTTTGGAAGAGATTTCCGACCATGAACGAGACCTCCCGCGAGAGAGCATTGGTCCGAGACCCATCACTGATTTTGAAATTTCAAGTCCCCCTTCTACAGGAATTGATCCGCTCCATTGCCGTTCAATGAGGAAAGTCTGGCGCGGAAGCGAGGACGCTGATTCAATTGACAGTCGGAGTAATAGATCCCTGGCAAGTCGCGGCTCAGTTTCATTCCGGGAACCACCAATGAGAGACCGCATCTGTAGAGACATTTTTGATACGTCTTTCTCGGAGCGCGCAAACTCCCTGTCGCCCCCTCCGCGGAGATCAGGTTCCAGGAAAGGAGCAGTTGTTACTTGCACTGGACACAAGGAAGTGAAAGGAAGTGGAATCTTAAGAACGCCGGAGGCATCGGTCGGAGGATTCAAAACCGATGTCAGAAAGTCCCCTGCAGGCGGAGGAAGGGCCGGAAACGAGTTCGATCAATGCCTCTTAGACCGTGCCCAGTTTACGCATCAGACAGCGGCATCAGCATGCAAAATTAAGATTGCGTATTCCAGGACTAAAACAATCCCAAGTGACTTGGAGGAGAATGACTATCTCACGTCTGACGAGGAATCGTGTACTCGTCAATTTACCTTCCCAGAAGCGACTGTGCCACGAAGATCCAAGTCTCCAGCGGATCGCTCCAACTTCAGTAAATCTCCCAGTAATGGCACCTCGTCACTCGCCGTGAAAGCTAAAGCGAGAGCGAAAGGAAACTCGGAGAAACAATTCTCTTTGCACGTGGAGCGACAATTGCTTGATAAGCTGCCCCCACCGCAGTTGCATGGTCGGTCTCCATCAGGAAGCTTGCTGTCCCAACCTGATGGATTGCAACCGGTCAGACGGTCGTGGGACCGAGTACTACAAGAGAATCTAGAGAATCTGCCTCCAGTTTCAAGCGGTCGCATTCTGCCGAATGAAATTGCTAAGTCGAGGAATGCGAACTCCTCCATTCATCCCAAACAATTCACAAGCCATATGGACGAGGTGAAGCTCTCGGTTCGCACAAGGAAACACGCTGCTCACAAGCAAGACAAACAGATAGTAGCAGCAACACAGTCAGCTGCGTCGCCTGCTCTTCAACGCCAGTCCGAGTTGCCAGTCGCACCGAGGCGAACGAGAAGAAAGAGCAGGCAGGGATGTCAGAAGGTCCGAGAGAATTCTGAGCCGCCATCAGCCTCAAGGGCAGGCGAGAAAACGACGGCTGCTTCAAATCTACCTGGCAATCGCAGAATTAAGAATTCGGAGGCAGTTTCCAGTGCAAGACGAGAGCAGCTATCTGGTAATTATAATCATGCCGTCACACAAATCTCTAAGAGGGGAGATAATTCTGCTAAGCAAGCGGCAGTACGAGAAACGAATGAGCCTCCCGAGCATTCTTTGAAACTGGACGATGGAGGCCACAAAGTCAATGATCTTGGCAATTATCATGACTATGAGTCCACCGAGCCTGCTCTCGGAGAGGATGCAATCCATTCTATTTCTGATTTTGTCGACGTGAAATCAGATGCGAGAGTCGAGGGTCGTGAGACTGACCTGCTCGATCATGACCTTCAGAAGCTTGATCAAACTCAAGGTCCGGCGAGAGACTTGTTTCCTGTTTCAGACATTGGTCAACTTGGCCTGGGAGAGCTTGTTCTTGGAATGGAAGACCTGCATTGGGATGATGACATGGTTGAGCAACAAAGGGAAAAACCCTCTCGTGCAAGGTATTGTGAAATTCAAGCTTCTGGAGAGTCGTTGCAGTCGGTTTGCGGTTCATTGGATGAAGATGTTTGCAACGTCGATGCTGGAAGCTCTCCTTCACCCCGCAAGGTATAGTTCACCTCAGTACTTGCGACCTGTGATGGCTGCACTCTTGGTCATGTTCTCATTTTCATTCTCAAACGGCCAGGCATCAGCAGTCTCTATTATGCTTTAGCTGTGTTTGACTTTGTGAATATAATGCAGATTGCAAGGGAATGTCTAGAAGCCGACATGCTCGACGAAAGCTCGACGTCGGTTTTGATGAAGCATTTGCCTGGTAAGCCTTTGAGGCTGGACTTGGACATGGGAGAAATAAGCCCTTCGTCAGTTTTAGAGTCACCGTTTGGAGATTCCACTACTTCGGAGTCCAGCATTGCAGGTGCTTTTTATCACCGCTTTACATTCCTCGAACCTCGTGTTCTGGTTGGCACTTGTCTTTCTTGATTTCAATTTCACTTCTTAAAGTCAGAGTTGTGGTCTCCTGCTGAACCATGTGACTTTGGTGATCGCAGAGACAGAACAACGAGAGGCTAATAGTCTTGAAGAAGATGACACTATGAATCTTACGGATATTGTTGGGGAACTTGAACGCGAAAATCAGATGGAGGTTTCCAGCCCTACAACGGTCAGCATGTCGACGCAAGAAATGACCACTTGTGACAAAGTCCGGCAAGCTCTTTTGGACATATCCTCGTTCAAGAGCCTTAATCAGGAACATGCATCTGAGTTCATGAAGGACGCAAAGACCGGTCTGTATGAAGAGAAAACCTTCGTCCGGGAAGTTCTTTCGGCTGCTCAGTTGCTGTCCAGTCCGGGTCGCTCACCAAACTGGCATGTGCGGGACCTTGCGATGGATCCATTTCTCTTTGATAAGCTGGAAGGTGGTGAATCCTGCCCTGAAAACGAGGGATTTCTTTTTGAATCAGGGGGTATGTGGAGATCTGATCGAAGGCTTCTCTTCGATTGTATAAATGAGTCGTTTTCCCAGGGTTCCAGGCAGTACAATGACCCGCATCCATGGCTGAGAAGACCGGTAATAAGAAATCCTCCAGTGCAACACAAATTGGTTGAAGAGGTCCATGACCAGATCAACGAGTGGCGGAATCTTGCATCGCATGCCATCGACACCCTGATTGATATCGACATGAGCACTCGTGCTGGCAAGTGGACAGATTTCAGTGAAGAAGTAGCAGAAATGTGCACCGAAGTTGAGGCCCTTCTGTGGAATGTGATGATGGATGAGGTGGTTCATGAACTTGACATATTCTTACACTGAGCTGGTAGCCAAATGCTGGTAAACAATCGTTCACCAACCCGACTAGACGGCCACCTCTTTATGCCTGCAATTTGCATGCTTCAACAAGCGCTGGTCGGAGTTTTACGAGCTTTTTAGCATATCTGAGATCAGGCAGGACAGAGCATCGTCTCCACATTAGGTTTAGCATGTGTGTCCTGCACAGCTGCAGGCAGCAAACATGCTTTATTTGTGTGTGTATAATACTTATTTTATTCTGAACTTCGATGATTCTCACGCAATTGAGTGTGCAGAATCTCTGTTCCTCAGTTAGTTGTGTCATTTGTGACGAAAGAGTGCATCGCCATGCGCCTTGTGAAGTGGACTGTTTTCAACTCATGGTCTTTAAGGGTAGCATTTATACAAATCCTGTCTTCCGGATTTTTCTCCCCAAGTTGAAATCAGCATAATTGACGGCTGCTGTCAGGATTGCAATCGAGTTCTACATCCATCTGCAAGTCCTTGAAACCCTTCGCCTGTCTCACACGCTTACAACTTCCCCACGGTCCTTAACAACTGTGCCAGACTTGCGTAGCTGTTAGAGAAGTTTCTTTGTCGTATATCATCCAATGAAGAGAGCTTCTTACAGCAGTCATACATTGAACAAACATGACAACCAAATAGGTGACTAATCGCAGCCTGAAATGGTCGAGCCATGGGAGGGTGGCACTTAAATCACCGCTGCATGATTTCGTCTGTCATGAGGAATTGGAAACAATGGTTTGAACTGTCAGGGATACGGAATGTGCACACTGAATCCGGGGGTGTCAGCGTGTAAAGTTTGCGGAGCGTTCAACAATCACTGGACGCTGAGTCTTGCTATGAGAGAGAAGCAAAATTTGTTGCTCTCAGAACGGAAGAGGTACAAAGGTGGCGGCTTGATTCGTGGTTGACGCACAGCAGGCCATTTCATGTGTGCGTGAAGAGGTCGCTGTACAGCTGTTATGGCGTAAGGTGCAAGTCCTCATCACACGACATTCAACTTGGTTAATTCTTCTCCATGTAACATTGACAGATTTCTAAGTTCGATTTCCAGGGTGAGTGGGACGAAGACCCCTTCAATTGTGGACACTCGCGTAGAACGTTTCGGTGAATAGATAACAGGGTTTCTGAGGCAGAATATTATTGAATCTCGGGGATAGGGTGCTTGCAAGTTTTGTGAGTGTTCGATGTAATATAAGCGGTTCAATTCTTGGAACACAAGTTGGTTGTAGATATTACGGAGTTGAGATTGGCCTCTCTGACTTGAAATGGAGCGTATCGAAATGGGGGTTTAGTCGTGGATGTTGGTAGAGGACAATACTTCCGACAAGATGGCGACAAAAGAAGAATCGCTCTTCGCATCAGCTGGATCCTGATTCGTCTTTAATCAGCTTGTCTTCCGTTGCAGCATTTTTAGGAGTTGAAAAAATCTTATGGGATTTCCTTCTGGCATTCCCTCTCATGTCCTTGGTTTTGTGTTTCATACACTAGGCTTAATCTAGCTTGTAGATGGAGGATTACCTTCTCAGTAGATACAAGTATGTAAAGGAATTATGCAAGCCTGACGGTCGTTTGCACTCAAGAAACCTACATGTAGCATTTTGTCACGAACGTTATTGTACCCACCTTCAGACACATATAGAATTGAGCTTTCTGGACGTTTTGTTGCAATCACTTCAATTCCGCACTTGAAAAGGCATATAAATACATCGACAATCCAACTCATGTTCACGAACACATATTTTTGTACCGCATTCTGTGATGTTATGACTCCATTATTATATCGAAGTTTATACCCGTAGATTACGACTTCTCATCAAGTCGTTGGCCCTATCTGTGTGCCCAGACGTTGCAGTTTTTAATTTGAATTGGGCACAGGATAGTAGATGTTTTAGGGTTGCCTACACATGTACCACTGTAAGCCATCGCATTTGGTAAAGAATGGTCCCTGCGATTGGAATAATAATGTGGCCTTGTAGGTGAAGCTCCTGAATATCTCATCTTGAGCATCGTATTTACATGCCTGAGATTGTTCAGTGGCAGATATGTGCCGTATATCCGCAGCAGGCAACACTGTGCTAATAGAGAGTGCCAGAGCATATCGAGTTGTGGAATTGCATTTACCAAACGTCGTATTTGTTTTCATGGTTGTGGGTGTGTGAGGCAGTCTTTTCCGTTTACCAATTGGTGGTAACGTGCACATTTATAGACATCCGCATTCTGTCTGCGGTTGACACTGTTTACACTCCCTATTAATTTTAGTCGTAGTGTTGAAATTATGAGGTTCGAGCAGACCGTGTCGGATCCGGGTTAACTCCTCCTGTAAGATATATAGATGAAAAGGTATCTGACCTAAATGTGCTCGGTGTGTACCTCTCAATTTTTTATTTTATTTTACTTAATTTTTTTTTCTCCCCTCTAGTATGGGAAAGTAGAGCAATGGAGCACAAAAAGGATCCAATCATTGACCCTTTCCGTAGTGCTTTCAAGACAACTGCAGTTACTGCTGGTCGGTGTACAAGAGAAGTGGGATAATTCAGACCTTATTGCCTACGTCAGACTGTTCATATCCAACCCAGGTCTGCCTAAGCGTTTCAGACTGAAAACACCTCTCAACAAGACCGAGTCACGTTTCACTTGACCAATAAGGCTACCGATTACATAGATAATTTCAACACTATACGACTAAAATTAATAGGGAGTGTTAACAGTGTCACAGCAGTCCCTTGCTAAACCATTTCCATTAATTTGTGCTCGAGTGTGTGAATCAAGTGACAGCATCAAGATTAGCGTACGTCTGCTCATCTGTGTGGTTATTATTACTGATCTGACCCATGATATCTTTGCGAACTTTACTCTATAATAAAAATTTCATCACTGATGTGATACCAATATTTCACGAGAAGCGAAAAAATGTCGGTGGTGATAAAAAAGATTGATTTCTATGCCCTAATTCTGTACAGGATTATGTGTCATTACTTACCCTGGTAGAAAAAGCGGAGTCTTTTGAGGACTCTGGTTGACTTAATTGAGGTGCATTTCATTCTGGGTGGCGTTTTGAGGAATCTCGTTTGGTGCCCTCGTTCATGTATCTTCTGACGCGAAGATACACCAGAAAAAACCCCGAAACGTCTGGTGCATATCACAGTGTTTTTTTTCATGCCTAGAACTCATATTTAATCCTCATTCCCATGACGCAACATGCGCACCAACCCCAACTTCTAATGGAAGGAACAAACTTGAGGATCTGCTCTTAAGCCAGTCGATCGTACACAGTACCAAAAGGACTGCATTTCCAGTAAGTGAGGCAAAGTGAGTTGCAAGCTTCATTGTCAAAGCGGGACAACCAATCTCAATTAGGGTTGTTCTTCTTACGCACATGTGTTTTGTCGTTTTTCATATGTACACATACATATATAAATGTGTATGTTCAGTCTTTTGTATCTTTCGTTCCGTTCAGTGATGACCTGTATTCCGCATACTCACATCTTTAAACTGAGGTGATGATCAACCTGGTCTGTACTCACGAGAATTAGAGTGGGGAATACTGTGATGTTCAAATCACTAGATTCGGTCGAACTATTGCTTCATTCCGGATGTGCATCAAACATCGTGCCTCATAATCAACAATACAGGGTATATTCTCTTAGTATCCGTAGGATGTGCAAGTTGCCAAGTTCGAGCACCAAGAGCTTTGTGCATGAAAAGGAATATGTAGAGATAACATTTCAGGCGTTCAAAAAGGAAACCTAAAATTGGATAGTCGTACGGATGGATGTCTTGTTACAAGAGAAAAACGAAAAATGAAACCAGAAAAATATAATTATTCAAGAGTAACTCCAAAGACGCATGAATATGAAGACTTCTGTGGCCTGTTTTAGACCTACTGCCACCCTTTAGATTCACACAACAAAACAAGAGCCTGAATTCCTCTTGTACTGCTGAGGACCAGCAAGTTGGAACTGCAAAGTCGGTCATTTAGAGAAAGAAATCTGACATCGTGGTCGTTTGGGTTTCTGCATATCCCTGTTTCACAATTGGCTGCTCATATTTGGCTGGTTCAATTGAAATCATCCAAAAAGGAATGATTAGCTTCTGGCATTCAAAGCTTCTGTATAGTGACCTTTACTATGTACAACTACAAGAATACAATGGATTGTTGTCGCCCCTGTGCAGTTGCGTACTGGAGTGTTCAATGTTACAAACTAGAAGTTTTCTCCAAGTGAAAAGAAATGAGAGTTCTAACAACTCGAAAGAGTCCAGACCATTTAAAATTTGCCGAGTGGATTCCATTGTTTCCACCGTGAATGGATCTCTTGGTGAAAATTTTGCTAGAATTATAATTTAGTCAAATTCTGACTGAACTTTCGGATGGAATTGTGGAACTTGTTACAGTCTCTACAAGAGTGCGCAGTATGTATCTCTCTTTGCAGAGAGTTGTGATCAAGTGCGCATATTTTATGAGGAACTGTTCATACTGTGGAGTTGGTCACATGACATAGAAATATACGTGCAGTTGATCGAAGTGTGGAACAATCTTCTAACCATGACAAGAAGAACCAAAATTCGTCGCAAAATCCAAACTGTCATGAACATGGTCACACATCTTCCCAGCAATGCAGGTGCAGAGGACTTTTCAGCATTCAACTCTCTGTCAGGAGCTCGGATTACGAGGACGAGAAACATCCATTCATTAAACTCACATTGGTCGGTTCTGCCAGACCGTTTCCAGGTAGACACATCCGTACAGAATGTGAGACGTCTAATCCTTGCAATTAGAGATCGTGAAGGCCTGACAACGATGGAGGTTTTCTTTCGCATAATTTGATTTGAGATAATATATCAATTTTGCATTTTATTTTTTTGCAATTGTCATGGAGCTGCAAGAACATTCTACAAAGGCGTTCAAGCGTGGTTGTGTGGTCACAGGAGACAATTGATATGAACTGTTCCAGACCACAATTTGATTCCGTCTCTGAAATATGCCGCATTAACTTGCATGAAGTTCTATTAATTATACTTCTATCAATGCTGTCAAGTTGAACTGAAATTTTAATCATGGTAGCTGTCGACGTCTGGAAGACCTGGGTCTATGTCTGATCTCGTTCGCTGGTACATGCCGCATTCACTTATCGTCGCTGAAAGTAGGATCCCTCGACGCTTTAGCGATTCTTTAAGAGCACGTTTCCCATGTTTCCTTTTGAAAAGATCCTGAGCGAAAGCCGAACAAAGTAGATCCGTGTCAACTAGCCACTGCCAGAAGCACATGCAGCGAGATTTAGATGGACCATTACGCAGCGATCTTGAGGCAGAGTGGATCTTATCATCAGTCATCGTGAACGGTGAATCGGAGCCACACTTCTCAGCAAAGATAAGAGAACCCAATTCTATCTATAACATTCTACCTATTCGATCTGCCGAAGGAAGATCACCTTTGGACCTCTGAGTATTGTTTCATGAGTTTCAGCTGGTTTGTTTTCGTACTTAGTGAGATTAGGAGCAGTGAAGAAGTGTTCATACTTGGTCAGTTTTATAAGTTATGTTGATTTAGTATGTTTTTTTTTAAAGAATCGCAGCATTATCATGCACATTGAATAGCTCTCTTCACTATATTTTAGATTTGGATTTGAACACAATTCTCATGCACATTGAATAGCTTTCTTTAGTATATATTAGATTTGAATACGAGCAAAAATCTCATGAAAAATAGCAATTGCTTTTCAAACGCTTGTAGTGATCATAGTCTATAACTCAAGCTTCCTCTTTTTCTCACATCAAGAGGCTCATTTATCAATAGACATTCTATTGTTTTAAGGTTGTAGCTTCTTGTCTCCATCATCATGGAGTTGAAGGCTTGGTTATGTCAAAATTTGTGGTATCTTAGTTTGAAGTATTGACAGGTAGTTCCACTAGTTTTGGTTTCAATAGCATCTAGAGTCATTCCAATTTGATTTAATGCAACTTCTGAGATATGTGCTAGACTTTTAGAAACTTAGTTGTTCAATTGTACTTGTTAGAGAGAAGTAGTTACTTTTCAAATACTTATAGTTGCCACCATCTATATCTTAAGCTTCCTCTTTCTTCTCACATCAAGAAGCTCACTATTCAACAGTCATTCTATTGTTTTAACGTTTTAACCTCTTGTTTGCATCATGAAGTTGAACTGTTCGTTACATCAAAGCTTGTGGTCTCGTGGTGTTACGTATCGACACCCGGTTCCATGAGTTCTGATTTCAATAGCATCCAGAGTGATCGCAGTTTGGTTTCTGGAACTTCTGAGATCTGCGCTCTACTTCGACAAACTTGGGAGTTCAGCGGTACTTATTCGTATCTTCATACAATCACTTGCAGAAATTGTTCGACGGCTTCCAAATTTGCAATACTCATTCACACAAACTGCGTTCCAATCCAACTGAAACCATTCAGTCTGCATTTCGAAAGCATTGAGTTAGTTTATTGAGAATGACTAGAAACAGGTTGCACGAGTAAGTTTTTCTCCGAGCAAGTCTTACAAAAGTCCATCTTCCTTGAACTACAGTACTCATTTTGATAGATCAACTTGCATACAAATCACAGTTGAAACCCTAGCTGCAATTACTGGCAAGTAGATTTGGAAACCATTGTCGATTGTTTCCATTCAACCCAGTCATTCAAAGTGCAAAAAAACGAAACACCGTTTCTTCGATAAAACTTCAAAACCACGTTGCAGAAACGAATCTTTGAAACATCTTTATTCCCCGGAAAGAATATTTTATCTGTGTTTGTTCCTCTTTCCTCTTAAAGGAAGGGGATCTACAGAATCTGCTCTTTTCCTTGTTCCTTTTTTTTCCTGATAAACAAGGAAAAAAAAAGCTTTTCGAAGCTGCAATAAAGTATCCACGCCGGGCAGGTGAAGTGGTTTCTGACAAAAGCCTGCTCGGGACACTGTTAGTTTGACGGATTTGGGTTTGAATCTTTGGTCCCCACATCATGATATGCTTCTTCTAGGTGCCTATCCTTCACCACTACACATACACAGGAAACCGTTCCCATTTGTGTCTTTTTGCTCTTGGTGACCCACAATCATGTCCCACAACCCATCTCTCATTTCTTCACATCACTCCTGAATTACCAAAAATCAATACTTGAAATTTGTGGGAGTTTCTAGAGAAGAATATGCTACAAAGAGACTTTTTGCAACATTTTATTTATCATTTATTATTTACTAGCTTGTAAAACAGACATGTTCTTTGAATGGGAGCTTTCAGATTTCTCCTCCAACAACATTAAGTATTCAGTATACAAACCAAAAAGCCATTGCACTAATAATAACGAACAGCACTGCAGTTTTATCAACTCAAAAACATATAGTTTTATTTTTATAATAAAGGGGGTGTGCAACGGGAATTGGATGCCAGCAGGGATTTTAGTGTAGGGGTCCAGGTCTAGGTGGAATCGGGAGACAGTTAAAGGCAGAGAGGCATTTGGGGATGGATGGGTTTGGTGATGGGACCGCCTTCCTGGGGGTCTCTCACCACCCTCGATTTTTGCTATTTTGGGGGCCTATTTACCTAATCCCGCGTTTGCCTTCTAGGGTTCTGTCACCGTGCCCTAGTTGTTCCCCGACCAAAGTGGTCATAGGTGGACAGAATGGCCGGGCAAAAGGCTCTTCCACTGGCATTATGTCCAAGGGTTTGTATTCATACATGTATAAATACATTCATGTAAATATTGGGTAATATTCATTTTAGGCAAGTTCCGAACTTTGCAAAACTGTTCATTGTTCTACATGTGTTTTGTATACAATATTCAGTATCATGAATACACAATGAACTGGCAAAAAAGGGATAAGGGTTGCATAATCAACAATTGTAATTGTTGCGTAGCTCCTTGAAATTGTAAAAAAAATACTTGAGAGGTTTCTATTCTGTTTTACGCAAAAATGGTCATGATAATAAGAGGCAACAAAGTGGGAAGAATAGCTTTAAAAAGGCTTCTTAGAGGGGTGGGAAATCAGTAAGAATGCATGATGTATCCATCCTTTGGAAGATGCAACTGCCATTGATAGAATGAGAAAGTTGCGTTTTTTAATTGAACAATTTTAATAAAGGAAGGCAAGTTGGATCAAAGTGGTCCTTGTCTCCTGGGCAGGGAGTACTTTGGTCAATCTTTTGCTATTGTGGCTCATAATTATATTCCTATGAAATGTCAAACCAGACCAAATCCATTCCGCTTAGATTTCCCCACGTCATTTCTCCCAGTTTCTTTTCTCCATTCTATTCTCTAGCTCTACCCCAAATGGAATTCAGATGGCTGTACACAGCATCGAGGGATTTTTTTACGTTTGGAGGAAGAAGGCTTAAATGGGGACTGCTGTTCCCATTCCATTATTTTAAGATCTGGTATCGTCCTTCGGGAAAAGTGCACAGGCACTCCACTCCATGGTTCATCATCAAGTGTCCACAACGCATGAATGAATGAGTATTTTCCACTAGATGCTAGGAAAGCCTTTCGCCGTGATAGGCTGTCTCGAGGCTGCATCCGCGCGGGGGAGTGGCGTGCGCTGCTTACGCGACTGTAGAGCTGCCGCCTGCAGTGCCGTTCGTCGTCGCAGCAGAAGGTGAGGCGCGAGAGTGTACATAGGGGCGCGGGGGCCGCAACCGCTCACGTGCTCAATTGTCCGCTGCCGATTTTAGTCCCACCTCCCCGCAGGTTGCCTGGATCCTGCATGAACGCGGCACCATGAGCCTAAAGGAAGATAGATGAGTTATAAATCTCGAATTAAATTCGCAAGCAGGATGGTTCCTGCACCTCGCACTCCTCCCCGCATTCGATCCGCAGCACTTTTGATGCACGGGTCTGACCCGTTGCCTGAAGGTCCTGGCCCCTGGTGTGCGTGTGGTGCTAGTGAAGCCCAAGGTGGCGTAAGCGTGGTACAGTGTGGAGCTCGGTGAGTTGCAACTTGGGCGAGCCGTTCACTACAAGCAGCGTTCAAGACAAGCTGCGAGGTAGCTGGTTGTGAGTCTTCGTTGGTGAGAGGCTGTTTGAAGGGTGGTCCTTCGCAACTTTATCTTTTGCGCGGCTTCGGCTGGCTAGTATGAACTTTACCATGGTACGCATGCGCACTTGCTCGGGAATTGTGAGCTGGGGATGTTGCAGCCAGAGGTTTTGGCTGGGTTGCGAGCGCTACTTAAAGTGAAAGTAGTGGGTGGGGAGGACAGAGGAGAGTGTCTGAAAGACTTACGCACCACCATTAGGTTTCGAATGTTTCCATGATTAGCCATCGCACCTAACGTCGTGCTTCGTGTTCAAAGCTGGATTTCATCACAAAAGTAGTTGGCTTGACTCAGTGAGACATAGTCGTGAGCTGTGGTATGTGGTATTTTCAAAGACTAGTAAGAAGTGATCTCAATTTGTTTCGTCTCCAAGAGGATGCAGAGGACGTTGTAAGAGAACTGAAAATTTAGAAGTTTCCTTGTCGTCGCTTTTGAGGTTGCTAATGTAAAGGGTACAGCTTCGTACTTCCAGGGATTGCTGTAAATTATTGCGATTGGCATCCGCTACTCATTTCGAAGGTAGACTACTTCTACAGGCTGCGGTTTTGCAAACCATATTCCTTTATTGTTTCCTCCACTTCGTGTTTCTGTGGGCTGCATTGGAGCGCACATGGCTTCTGAACTTTGCTATCCTAACTTCTACCTCAACATTCTACAGCCCCGTGTGGTGTTATCTTTATTATCTGACCTCGGAAAGGTCTTCGCTGAAATACTCGTCTAAAAAAGCAACTCTCACTTCGAGATTTTGGGTCAATTTGGTGAGGGCATCGATGTTGGTGTTCGCGAGTAGATGTTGATGTAACCCTACTTTTTTACCGACTGGATCATGTGAGTGCAGGCCAAGTGCACCGTGGTACTTTGGGCACATTGCCAGTGAAGGGAGGCGAGAGCAAGCTGACGCTGAGGAATTGCCGACGCAAGTTGGAGCTGAAGAAAAGTTGACGGTCAGCGAAATGTTGGAGGTCATGGATAAGCACTACCATTCGAGTTCCATGCCTCAAGGTCCTGCATCATTGGCTGAGCCATCACCACCTGTCACCATGGACTTCTCTTGCGACAATGCCTACCACAGTTTTACCCCAAGCGGGTGCAACGTATTTTCGTCGGCATGGAGCCAGACGCTTCCTGAGCTCGACATAGATAACAATATGCACACACTCTTCGAAGGGCTTCCGGAGATCGTAGAGCCTGACTTAGTCGGCCGAGATGAGGGTGGTTGTAAATGTTCCAATGTCACACTGTCGCCCTTCTTCCCATCGACTCCTCCAGCGCATGCGGGCAGGCTGAGCTCGATGCCTTACATGATTGGAGCCGTGACCCCAGCCATCCCAGCGCTGGACGCAAGGTCTTCGGTGTCTCATTTGGCCGGGGATGCGGCGAAGGCACCCTTGCTGCTGAGGCCCAAGCCTCAAGAATTGACTCAGCCTGTAAACGAGGCCGCTGATCTCAAAGGAGGACGCTCTTGTAAAGGTAAAGCTGCACCAGTACGGAGTAAACTTTCAGAAACTAAAAAGCCGTATAATCAATCTTCAGTCAAGAAGGCTATGGAGGCGATACCGGCCACAATTCAAGCGATTTCCCAAGTTCAAGTGCAAGGAATTCCTCTCACATCTGCTGCTTCCTCCAACTTTCAAAGGATTTTACCTGCTACTTCTGCTGTTACAGATATGACCACTGTTAAAGCGAATCAGTGTACACCTCTCCGTTATGGGGTAGGTTTAGGCCCCCAGGTGCTCTTACATCCAGCGAAGAGATCTCGGAAGGACGCGGCGCAAGCTGCCAATACACGGACCCAAAAGACAAGATACTTCGACAAAGTAGAGCACATCGTCCGAGAGCGCTGGCGGAGAGACGACATGGCCGGGAAATTTTTGGCCTTGGAGTCACTACTGCCTCCCGGCTTGAAAGTAAGGCTACTACCACCCGTTTGTCTCTTTTCTTTTCTCTCAATCCCTCTCTGCCAATTGAGCCCAACATATATTGACCTGCTCAAGGTTCTGCTTATCTTGTAAGTATGGGCCTCGGAATCTGAACTTGTAGTGTACCATGGCAGCGTGATAGATCAACTATCGTGGAAGACAGCGTGAATCTGGTGAAGAGTCTGCAACATAGAAAACAAGAGGTTTTGAAAAGACGCTCTGAACTTCGATCGGCCGTGGCCTCTGGCGGCCTGCCCCCTACCCCCGGCGTTAAGCTCAACAAGTTCATCAAGACAATCGGCTCGCCGGCTGTTATCCCAGCGAACAGCCTGCAAGCGCTCGAATCCGGCTCCCTTTCGTCCTCCTCCATGGCCTTGTCCAGCGGCCACTTGACTGTGGGGACCAAGAGTCCCCTGCAAGTCCAGCCCAACGACTACGGTGCCGTGTTCCAGATCCCCAAACCTCTTATTAATTGCGTGAAGAGGTTCTACGTTCAATCGGAGCTAGCCTTGGGAGATATCGTCATTGAGATGATCTGTCATCAAATTCCAAACTTCCACAGCCTGCTGATGAAATCCATGGAGTCCCTGTGTCTGGAAGTAGTTCGATGCAGCGTAACGAGAACTGTCAACCAACTCATCTGTAACCTCGCTGTCAAGGTATACGAGCTTGCTCTCCACCATCAGTTGCACTACTTTTTTTTTGTTTTTTTCTTTTTCCTGCATTTGTGAGATCAACAATTAATAACATGATCTGATGTTCGTTTGTGTGGTGTTTCTCTACAGCCATTTCCTTCCTCCACAGCCGGCAGATTGTCTTCGACCAATATAATGGAAGCTTTGAACTTGGTATTTCGGACACCGTATCCCGAACCGTAAATAGACTTCATATGCTTGTCTTGACCTGCTTTTATTCTAGTAAATATTGGACAGTCTCACATTGTGTCCTTTGCAAGGTTTGAGTTTGGATATGAGCCATGTGGGTTCATCTTTGAACGTCGTCCTGCACTTGTGCGTGTCTCGGTCATCGACCATGTGCACCAACTTACAGTAGAAATAATAACAAGCAAAAACAATTATAAGACACTGTGTGTGTGTATGTGCGCCATGATACTCTTGCAATGTGTGCTTAGTTGAGATTTTGAAAGACTACCTGAAATCTGTGGAAGGTGTGTAAATTATCGCTTTCCATCAGTTCAATTGTTACGATTGGTCTCGAGTGTAATGTGGTAGCATTATAGGAAAGTCATTAGGAATAGTAGTCTTTTGTTCTTTATATAAAATTTAATAATATTTGATAAAAAATTGATATTTACTTACTTAAAAAATCTTTAGTAAATACTTGAAGAACTCTTCATATGGATTTGATTGGCATCAAATTATTACACATGGTGGGAATTGCATGAACAAGGAGAGCTATCTGGTTTTATACCTCAATCCCAATAGCTATTAAATAAGTTTCTTTAAAGCTTTTACTTCTAACTCATGATGTTAAATGTGTTTTTTAGTATTCCTCTTAAAATCTAAATACAAATTACTCACAATGATAATTCCAAATCAAAGCTCAAATTGATTTTTTTTTTTTTTTTTTTTTTTTTCAAGAATAGATAAATGGTACAAAAATGTGTTATTTTTGTTATAATCAATTGTATTATAAGTGATATCTTCTCTCTTTTACTTATGGTTATTATAAATATAAGTAAGTTAATAAAAATAAAATACATGACTTATTTTTAAGAATGTTTTAGTAACATTTTGGTTACATATCTCTAATACTTCAAAAAAAAATCTTAAATATTAATTATTACATAATTATATATTGTGTTTAAATTTTAATTTAAATATTGGATTACTTAATTTAAAATTCATGATATCTTAATCTTAAATTGTTAGATCCACCTTCTTCTTGCAAACAATAATGTTTAATTAAAGTTTTGATTGCATGTAGTATATAATATTGAAGAACAATCACTTTGAAGTCACAATACTTAGCATCAACAAGGTTGCAAACAAAGAGAGTATGGAGTAAGGTATGTCTAACTTCCAACACCCAATACTTTTAGGTAGTGGTTGATGTCCAAAAAAACAACTTCCATTCTTTGACTTTTGTATACATGGTCCTAGGATCCTTTTGGCATCTCACTAACCTCAAGGGTATCCTATGCCATACACTAATTACTCTTATCTAGTCTTTGGATATTTCCTAGTTAATACTTTATCCTCTTGACTTTGACTCTTAATCCTTGACCTTGACCTATATCCATAAGATTCCTTTTCTATACACCAAAAGTCGATTCTTTGACCATTAGCAACTTATCTAAGGTAATATCCTCTACAAGATAACTTATTCTACTTTTACTTTTACTTCAACATATAATACCAATAATATCATCTTTTTTTTAAAAAAATCATATAATAAATTAATAACTTGATTTTCTTTTTCTTATTTTTATCTATATCATCAATTTTTTTAAAGTAATACAAAATATCAATTTCTTTATTTATGTATAAGATTCAATACAAAGCCAATATTATATATAACTTTATTAGATTAATTATTCACAAGTTATTATTATTTTTTGTTTAATTAATTTTATTGCAAATAAAAATAATTTTTAAAATTAATTCTTACTTGTAGTCTTTCTTGCAATTTTTAAACTATTTTAAAAGAAATAAATTACGATGCTAAAATAAATAATAATTTTTGTAAGTTAATATAAATCTATTATTACTATTTCTACAACTATTGTTGTTGTTTAGGCTATAAAAGACAAGTTATAAGTTGACTAATTTTGAGATTGTTCCAAAAAATAATATAATCTAATGTTATTAAAAGAAAAAAGAAAAAAATACAAAGTACGAAATATATTTTTTAAAATCTATTTTAGAACCAATATAAGAATATTATCTATTAGCAAACCATTAATTCTTTTTCTTAAAAATGATATTTTCTTGAATCTCTCTCTCTCTCTCTCTCTCTATATATATATATATATATATATATATATATATAATATATATTTATTTTATAATAAAATTTATATATTTTAGTTTCTAGTTTATATATTAGAAAGTATGTTAATATTGAAGTATTTTGAATAATCTAATAATTTATCAATTATAATATTTTTATTTTTTATTTTTTACTTTATATATTAAATAATTAATTTTAGTAAAAAAAATAAACAAGAGATTTCATTAAATCATTCTTGACTTTTAAATTAAAAATGATTATTTTTAAAAAATTATTCCACTATTAATGTGTTTATTTGATTTTAATACTTTAATTAATATTAAGAGCATTTGATTTTTTTATATCTATATATCTATATATATATATATATATATATATATATTCATTTCTAAAATCCATCAATAGTATAAAAAATATCAAAAGATACACAAATATGTTAACTTATTGTGTGAACTTGATATTTAAATATATTTGTACAAATTAATATCTTAAAATTTTCGTTTTTAATCTTGATAACCTCTATTACTTAAAATTTATTATTATTTGTTAATAGTAATTATGGTCGATTAATTCCATGTTGGTGAACAATTAAAAGTATTGAGTTGTAATAAAGAAGGATCTAAGAAATCAAAATTTTATAACTTTTGGTAGAAGAGATAATGCATCTAGCTATATAGAATTTTGTCAAGATTATATAAGTTTTTAATTTTGTGAAGAGATAAAAACGACCTCTAGATAGATTCAAAACTTTTCTATAGACCAATAAAACTTTTGAATCTTAAGTAGTTCTAGAAGGCAAAGATTTAGAATAATGTGTTAAGTTATTGCTTCTTATATTTATTTCAAATACTATACAAAGTTTATAAATATTTCTTAGCAAGAAGATTATGGGACTAAAATAAATCACTTTTAAATAAACTATTGATTACCAATTTAGATGGGATCTATAGAATATATTCTTGTCAAAACAAGTGATGATTGTAAAAAAAAACTTCTACTCAGATTTAATTAATTTAGAACCTTTTGATTATTTTTGTGTAATATTTGTAGAACAATTTGGATTGGAAACAATACCAAGATTTTTAAAAGAAAAAATTGGTATAATGAGCACATTAGACAAAAATCATTGTATAACTTTAGAAAAGAGAGCACTTTAGAAAAAACAAAGAAACAAAAAATAAAACCATTATTATTATTATTATTATTATTATTATATATATATATATATATATATATGGGACATATCCTAGATAGAAATACATATAGTAAAAAATAAAATAACATATTATTAAATTAAAAAATAAAACTTTACATAAAAACATAATTATAGACACATTAGAGAGAAATCAAATAAATAGATAAGTTGTGCACTCACTATTTATATGAATCTCTAATGTCTACTTTGTAAAAAGAGTATTAGCACACAAGACGTGTTGTTACTTCTCAAAAGATTGAATCTACGTGATGGCTTTAGCCCATACGTGTCAAAGAATTAAAAAAAGTAAAACAAATCAGTGCATATTTTGCATGTTAGGGAACACTAGTAACCTAGCTGATGTAATGGCAGGTGAGAAGTCATTGGTTGATAACCTCATTGATCCTCAGCTGCGTTGTTACACAGGTGAGACCGTCCGATATTCTGCAATAGAACAATCGTGTCCATCCCTGCACCATCTGGTACGAAGTTTTACTCACATGACAAGGCTTCCTCCGACCATTGATTTTCATGGGCTCCAACACAAACTGCTCATCTAGGATTCATTCTACTGTGTCAATGAGGCATGTGGCTCAGCACCCTCTTTCGTCTCTTCTTTCTTCTCGTGCACCTCCTAGATTGTGCCTGGCCTGTTTCCAGTCTAACATGTCAAATATTAGGAGTTCCTATTAGGTCTAAATTCTATCATACCTAGTTTATGTTCTGGCAGGTATGCTACTTTCTATATCTTTTACCCTTTCTGGCACCTGCAGAGAAGCCGGTCTGATCTTTGCTGCGCTGCTATTTGTGCGAGTAAGCCTTCGTTCCTTCTTCATATTTGGCCTGCCGACAAACGTTTTTTTAGAGGATATCCAAATGTGACAGTTAATCAAGGGAAGTTATACCCAAACTAACAGTCCTGTCTTATGCTCTTAGCGGATAGGAACTGGTTGCTACTCTTTCCGCATGCTGAACAAGATGGACATTGCTTTCGACTATTACCATGCGCCAACATTGGCCATCTTCGGATACATTCCAGGCAACCACCCCCAGCCAGCTACTGAAATACGTTGCAGTGCGGGGTTTACTTTTACCTCCTGGATGCAGTGGCTCAACCCCAACCATTGCAATAAAATAAAACATAACCTGTGGAGCAGAAAAAATCTTGGCTTCGAAGCTGCCGACGTGTGGTATAGGGAAAGAGGAGCTCAGGTTTTTCTTGACTTGAAGGTTTCTGAGCGAGTGCCTGCGGTGGGGAGCCCTGGGACGTCTCCGCACATAATCCTTTAACGGAAGGAACTGGATGTAAAGCCCAAGTCTCCGCAAAAAGAGAATCATTGGCATGCCGTAATTTGTGTAGCGTTAATTCCATCCGTAAGGCGATTACGTTCGCAACTGACGTATTCAGTTTCTTCGAATAATGCTTCTTTGTTCTCGGCTCTGTACTATGTTCATCTGGACCCTTACATGCTTTCAACTCGTACAAAGGACTTGGCTATTTCTGTAATGGGATGCTCATACTCAAAATTATGATAGTGCTTATTCGAAGCACCGATCGCCTAGTTTGGTATGATTATCCCAACGTTTGGACCCTCTGCGACCTAGCCAATACTTAGTGACTAAGCTGTGATTTGGGTTTCCCTTGTAATTGAAGAAATCACTTGCAAAAACATTATTCCAATAATGTGTGAATGCAATATAAGGGACAAACCTGAAAGAGCGTAATAATTTAATAGCTGTACAGTATTAGTACAACAAACGAGCACAACGTACAGTACGTCTAACACCAACTTAACATTATCATTATACTTGATTGATACTGGAGGTGCAGGCGGTGATCAATTCTATTGATCCTACATATCAAGATCCAAAATATCTGGTACCCTTAACTTGTAATAACGCATAACCAAACAAACGCTAAATCTTTAGAATGTACATGCTGCTCTCTTCTTTACAGCTGACACGTACTGTATCTGATGGGAGTTATCTGATGAAGCACCCCGAACTCAAAACACAAGTCTGCCATTTACTGCAAAAACCGAATTCTGAGAGGTACGTCATATAGACTAAAGACCGTTGATCCAGTGGTATTGTAGAGATCCGGTTTTGGGTTGTGCTTCAACAATGAAATACGAAGAATCCTCTTAAAAGATCTGGGAAAAATCAAACAATTCCATCAGATAGTTAGGAAATTTAGCATTAAAATGTTTCTTTATTCGTCACATAAAGACTGATAATAAAGTCAAACAAACATCCATCAACATTCTGCAAAAGACCGTCGTCACAACAATCTGCAACTAGGATTGAGGAAAATACATTACCTTGCAGACATCGTCCCATCACTTTCTGCAAGACGCCCAAATTTCACCTGTGTACGCTACAACTTAAATAAGTAATCAATGCATATTCAGCTTCTGAAAGTACCTGCGTATACACTCAAAATTTCAGCACTTTTGCATGCCCCTAAGAATCAGATCAAGATGTCAAAGTTAACATCCATTATCCGAACTGGTTCAAGCATCCACCAAGTAATTCTGCTAACAGTACTAACAAGTACCAGCAAAATAATCATCACCCAACCCAAACCCAAACTGAAAGCAGTCGTCGACAGAATAAGAGCCTCTGAGAAGGGGATTTAACCACTACTTAGCACCTTAAGCATGCAAAAATATTGTCCTAGAATGTTTTAAACTGAAAAGAATAAAAAAGAAAAGAAAAGAAAAAAGAAAATAAAAAACTGGATACAGACAACTCGAGGTCACTACTCGAGTTATGTAGCACGACAAACCAGGAAGAAACGGAAGTGAAAATGCCCGACTTCTTGGTTTGCACTTTCCGGTCACCATGGAGGAGTAGAGTCACTAGCCTGGTAAATGCCTTCGCTGCACAGTTGACGGAATGCCAGGTTTCCGCTGACAAGTTGTAGGATCAGGTCACGAAGCCGAGTTCGAAGGATGAAACAAAGAGTTTGTTTGAGATAAAGAATTTCTTCAGCCTCTACTATTTTTAGCTGAAGGCATGAAATACCGCAGATCTGATGCCGCCCGTCTTTTTAGGGATATAACATCTATAGAAACATAAATATTTCATAAATGGTTGGGACATGTACTAGTAGAATTCAAGTACTCAACAGGACTGTCACCCAGAGCACAACACAGAATATTCCACCATTTGATTACATCATCACAGTAAAAATAATAAGAATTCAAGAAAACTTGAGGTAAAGTCTAAGACACAATATTGCTTTTCGGCACGTTAAATTTCATCCATTTTGTCAATATGATCCTCCCGATGAAAGCAACGGCAATATCGTGTCACTATAGGCAACTGAAGAGAAAATTGTACCTGTTAAGACCTCCTCAAGCCTGCGCTGGATGTCAGAGGCCGTTGCGAAATCCATTTGAACCAATCCAGCCATACCTTCATTTCACGAGAGGATAACCAATAAAAGTGAAATAATAGAAGTTTTAAAGGTCAAAGTTTCTTTCAGAGCTTGTCGTTAAGAGAATACATGTATTTACATGGTAACGTTGTGGATCAACACGTATATCATGCTAAAAATAAAGTACCATGGAAGCGCAAATTGAAGAGCAAAATGCAAGCCAAACAGACCGGGTAGTGGACAGTTTATATAGATCACATAGAAAATTACTAAAAAGAGGATAAGAGAACGATGAGGAACAGTAACCTGTAGGGTGGCCGGAAGCTCTCTCCACAAGCAGCTTTAAGCAGTGGCTAACCTCCTCAAAATCACCTTCAAAATACTCCAGTCTCTCTTCCTCCTTTTTCTCCAGCAGCAGGGTCCGGGCTTTGCCCCGCTCTTCGGCAGACAACGGCAGCTCTTGCAATATTTTCTTAGCCTCCCTCCAACTTCCCACAAGCCTCCTGCTCTCTTCCTCCTCGATTACCACATTTTCTCCACCCGTAATTCGAAACTTATCCGCAGGAAATTTCATGTCCACTGCATCAGGAGGACCGAGCAACACGCTTTGGTGCTTTGGATGGTCACCAAACATGCCATCCATCTTCTGAAACCACACCCAACTGCATGTCTCCGCTCCAGTGCTTGCCTTCCTACCCTTCTCCAGTTTATGACGCTTCTTTAAGGAGTCCATCTTATCCCGGCACTGCTTCACCGATTTCCCACCTCCTCCTTCCATGTTAAAACGGTCCACAAGCTGCTCCCAATCCTTGGATCGGAAGCTTCCCCTGTCCATTTCAAAGTACTTTTCCTCGTACAGGTCTAAAAAGAGGGCCACTGATCGGGCCGACCATTCTTCCCGTTTCTCATCTCCGTTTCTTGCAACTGATGGTTTTTTCTCAGTCTCTGACGACTGTAGTGAGGTTGTAGACAGCATCTTCATTGGAGGAGGTAGAGACACAGGCGTCTGACTTCGGTCACCGTCCATCGCGAGAAATGTTACTCCACAGATCTTCTCAGCCCAAATTGACCGCTTAGGTCGTATTTGTAGCGCAATTGCCACCCTGAAGTACCAATCGCTGTGACATGTATCCCACGTAGAATACATCATCAAAATCTTGAACAGGTAACCTAGATATAAATTCTAAGTCCTCCAACTCTGTATGGAAAATCCACCAAAGGTATGCACAAAATTCACTTGTGCAACTCGACAATCATATAAAGCATCACGTTTCCATCCACGATCGACACAAAGTATTTAACAAGCATTTCTTCGAGCTCATTCCCAGTAAACTTGTCACAATTTCATGGCTAACGCCCAAGCTCCTCGTGTTAACAAGAAGAAGAAGAAGAAGAAGAAGAAGAAGTAGATAATAATAATAATAATAATCATCGTGATCATCATCATCATCATCATCATCAAACAAATCTATCAGAACAGGAAAAAGGCACTCAAAACTCAACACCAATGCAACACGTCGACCACAAATTTGAGACAAATCATCCATGTCACGCACCCTAGCACTAACATCACCTAATCCATGAAGACGCTCTGCATAAGACTCTCTCTCATAAAAAGAGCACATCGGCTCCAATGTTTACAAATTGGTCCGACGACACTTCCACTAACCGAGCCAAAGCTAGGTCACCATCCGCATAAAAATTGGAAAGCGAAAAAGGAAATCAAGCATCCGAGAGCAAGTGCTACGATTGGGCTCTTTCCATTGAAATTCACCAATGCACATAGATTCCATACCTTCGTCGGAAACAAACTAAAACAAACAGATACAACCATTACAAATAGAAAATTGCACTTACACAGCGCCAACCCGCACAATTCCCCTCCAATCTCCCTCAATTCGACTCTCCCGATAACTATCCTTCCCGATTGCCAAGTCAGAACTCCAGCAAACGACAGCAGCAATAGCTGCTCGAGCAGTGAAGGAGGAGGGTTCGGCCGAGGCATGGCGAGATTCTGCCCTGTGCTGGCTCCCTCCTCCACTGGATGAACAGAGCAATGAACAGATCAATGTATGATAGATTAACGATATGCCGGATGGACGTGTGATGAAGAAATATTGATGAATGAAACCGCAGTCTTCCCCGATGAAGTCCGACCACAATAAACATGAGCTGCGTTATGAATACGTTCTAAGATAGGTTTATCAAAGCCTCTGGAATCATTTCTTACTGTATGCAAATGTGTGGTTGAATGTGCCTTGACTTAAGATCATGGCCGTAATGCACAGGAATTGCAGCAAAAGAAAAAAGAGAAAAGGAACGGTATGAGTTGTTCACTTGTGGGTTGCGCCGTGAAGGCTTACCATGGTGTGGAAATGTTACGCTTTCCTGGTTAGGATGTCGGATTCTTAATTGTAGAGTCTGAATTACAATAAATGCGTCTCAGCGCAATCTGTGTTTGCCACCGTGCCAAGCACTACCTCGGCGCTTAGCTTCAAGACTTCAATGGGGCACATGCAGTGTTGCCCAGTGCTCATGTTGTACATTCAGTGTTTCCAAATGCTTCATTGTTGCAAAGTGCTCATGTATTGACCGTAACATGGTACAATTAGTAGGGGTCAGTACAATTCCAAGGATTCAACAATACTTTTGCATTCATTTATCTGTTGGGTTTTTCAAACTTCACAGTACATCACTGATCATTTCTCTCGAATTCATTGCTTGCAAATGAGCATCGAGTGGTGCGCACCTTTGGATCAAAGGAAGTGGTGCGTTCACAAGTTCTGCAGGACCATTTTGTTGGATCTTGTGCCAAAACGACAAAGTCTGGTAGTTTTCATTGGTTCCCACCCGAAACTGAATGTATTATAAATTTTCTCTTTACAGGGGGTTCATTAAGTGGAAACTAATTACCTCATGGTCACGCTATTCACAATCCTATCCTTTGATGACTTGTGGCAGCGCGACAACGCTTTGTGGACGACGGTGAATAGGCTCTGTGGGGTGATATCCACATCAAGTTGGACACTTGTCGAAAATCCACATGGGTTTGGTTTCGATGGGAGCTCCTGAGGTTAACTACCTGCTGCGCATTCAGTTGCAGGTTGTGAGAGATTCGAAACGAGTGTCGAGATCTATTAGTCCACCTTTCTCGGCGACAGGTTGCAGTGCATTTAAGTGGAAGCAGAAGCGGGGCGTCTAGGTTGGAGTCACTCGATTTGATCAGGCTGGTGAGTGCAAATTCAGTCAGCTCTGCTGTCGGAAGGTTTTGTTCCCCACCTTTCTCATCTTGGTTAGGAATTTAGTGGAGCTCGTTTCTTGCTGGGCTTGAGAACCTTGGAGTGGAATTGTAGTTGAGGTTTGAGTTTGTGATACTGTGCTGGAAAGTGAACATACTGGGCGAACGCTTTCTGCATTTCTCATCTTCTGTGTCAGTCGAAATTTCGTGACGTCATGGTGTTTCTGTTCTCAGTTCCAGCCTGAGCATCATCTGCGAGGATCCTCTCACCACCTCATGTGCATCGGTGGCTTTCTAGCCGCCGGAGCTTTCGATCTCATGTGGATCACCTGAATTTTAGTGGCAACTTAACAACGGTTGTGTGAATCGTTGAAACGAATTCAGCTTGCTTCTGTCAAAGATTTACTCGTAAGGCAGCATGTTGCGCTTTTAATCACCGTGTGAATCTGTAGGTATATACAAATAAACAATGAATGGCGAGGTGAACGGAGAGGAGGCCACAGCGTGGGCTGGAGGCGGTGAGGGTTGGAGGTCTTCAGTTACATTCGGTTATGCAAGGGTAAAGGGTTTGCGGGATCATCCCATTGAAGATTACCACGTTGCTAGAATGCAATCCTTCAATGGCGAAGAAATCGGCTTATTTGCGGTATACGATGGCCATGCAGGCACCGAGGTTGCATCTTACTTGGAACAAGAACTCTTCGATAAGATTTTGGCAGATCCCAACTTTAGGGACGACCCGAAGAAGACGATCAAAGAGACATACTTCTCCATGGACAAGAGGTCTCACTTCAACCCTTATTCTCATAATCTGCAAAACCTGATAAATGTATGATAAATCGAGCTTTTACTTGTACTATGTAGACATATTAGGTCGTGTCCTTTTATCTGTCACTACTGGCAATCAATTCGGTCCGTTTCTCTATTGCTGCAGAATATCATAGTTTTGCAGATGAGCTTGTTACAATATAATCTAAACTATGGAAATATTTGATTTGCAGAATATTGGGTAAGGCAGAAAACGAGAAGGATTTCAGAGCAGGGTCAACAGCCACCACTGCTTTCCTGCTCGACGGCGGCTCACGGCTCGTTGTGGCAAATGTTGGAGACTCTCGAGCTATTCTCGCTAGAAATCGCAAAGCTGTAGAAGTCAGTGTTGATCATGAACCTCAGAAACCAGAGGAGCGTGAAATGGTATGTATCCTCATTTTGCAATTCCTATGCAGACGGCAATTTGTGATCAATTAATTGCATTGTTTAAATTCGCTGGTTGATGGAGAGAAACTGACACACCGTGCTCACAGGTGGAGTCTAAAGGGGGCGAGGTTGCTGTATCACCTATTGGAGGAGTGTATCGGGTTGACAAGAGATTGAATATGACGCGTGCATTCGGAGACTACTCGATCAAGGAGCATTTGAGTGTGGAACCTGATATTTGGGACAACATTCTGACTGACGACGACGATTTCTTTGTCGTTGCCAGTGATGGGCTGTGGAATGTTATGAGTAATGACGAAGCCGTTGAGCATGTTCTAGCTCAGACGACTGCAGAAGGAGCTGCGAAAGTGTTGGCAGCTGCTGCCCTTAGGAGGGGAAGTAGGGATGACATTTCAGTTCTTGTTGTGTGCCTCAAAGATCTGAGTTCTTTGAGCTAAATTTTTCAATTGTTACCATTCAAGGTCACTTAGTTCTGGTATTTACAGTACAGGCGCTCAAACTAACTCAGAAATGCTGAACATTTGGTTTTGGACAAGAATTGACATTTCGATGCTAAGGAAATCTTCGGATTTTTGTATCAAGAGCTCCTATTTCAAATTAGTAAATAAATTATTCCGTACGCTCAGTAAGTAAAGCGTGCAAAATACATGTCTCAACTACCGGCCATCAAGTATAAGTATAGTTGGTTGTACAATACTGGAAATACTGCAATCCTCTCCATCGTCGTCCTTAACATACACCTTCGAGTTTAATAGTAATTGGACGATAAAACGTATTGAAACAAAAACGCAGCTGCCTAAATCACTGTTAATATGATCTCCAACCACCACTAGCACACGATCAACTGACTATTTTTTGTTTATTTGAAATACGTCATTCCCACACCACTTCTGCTGCGATTCGCATGCACAATAACATTAAGTCGTCCAATAGTTCAATGAAATCAGAAGGACCCGAAGGTACTAACCATTGTTCTTAGTACTCATTGGTTGTAAACCTCCCGGTTTAGCATACAATAGGAACTAAAAGGCCACATCTAAAACCCCACCTTCAGTCCAATACAAGGTGACAAACAGCAACTTCGTACACCTAAAATCGGTAGTATATTAAGTTTAATCACCGTGTACTATCCGTTTGAGAAATTCTAGGTACATCCCTCCAAGAAGCTGTCATCTTTGAGACCTCTGCAGCCAGTCTCCTTTGGGAACAGGCTTGGAAATATCCACATCAGGTCTATGGTAAACATACGTAAACACTTGCTCTCCCTTCTCAGTCCTTACCTGCATCAAATGCATACAGTCAAATCCATACTACTTTGTTTGAGTGATGCAACAGTCAAATCCATACAAAACTCATGCACAACAAATTTTCAAAAAAATATTTAAATGACTTAACAAAACGTCAATTTCTGCCAGAAATGTTTCAATGTTGAACACTCTCAAGTACAGTGTAATAAAACAGTTGATACAATCACCCAAAAATGTTACCCCTGATCCAGAAACAAACGACTATGTCGCAGCTCGACCATGGCAACTAGGGTTTGTCGCCCTTTCCCCCTTTCTTCGACCATAAGAAGTATTCGGGATACAGATCAATCTCTTCAACCAACAGGAATGAAACAACCATATACTTCGCAAGAAGAAATTGAGGAAAAAACAGGTTACAACATAACGCAAAAAATTTCAAATTCATCGCACTGATGTCACGGGCAAGTTTTGAAGAGAGAAGAGATTTTCACCTCTACTATGTCTCTCTCATAGAGCTTGGGCGAGTATTCCTTAGATTCCGACTCTTGAAGTAATGCAGAAATGGTTCCAGAGCAGGCGGCCTTCACAACATACCCGGCCACTGCATGCCCTGCCTCGTCCAGCCTCACTGCAGCTTGGTCCTGACCTCCCTTGTTGAAGCAGTAGAGTCTGCCGCCCATAAGCCACGCCTTCTTAGCTCCACAAGTATTACCAAGCGGCTCCGTGTTGTCGGGCGCGTCAGGTCTCAGTTTCCCGTATACAAATAAGTGATCGGCCTCCTCTGCCATCGCGATTGTTCTTCCTCCCGCAAAATCAAAGAAGCGATATCCTCTTTCCACTACCCTCAACACGCAGCCAAGCAACTTTCAAATTACGAGACTGCGACTAAATGCACTCTAAACACCGTACCCACGTAGATTTTCAGAGTTTGTGCAACAATGAAGAGGACACGCAATCTGAAACTTCTCCTGTGGATATGAGCCTTTTCAAAAATTTCATTTGTGATTCTTTAGATCTCAGGTAAGGCCTTACAAGGCGGTGTCCTCAGATCATTCTTGGGAGCTGTCAACGTGGCCAAGACAAGTGGATAATGCTTACTAGACCATATCCTTAAAGTTTTCAGGTGAACTACAGTACCTCGATATCCCAGGGTTGTTGATTTTATGTCGGGCTAAAATTTCTTACCAGTTCCAACTGTAAAACATTTCAGTGGCATTGAATTGAGAGTGCGTATCCTTGGCCGTCGTGTTTTGAGTAACTGATCCCAATCGATTGCTTTGTTAATGAGATGAAAATCCCCAACAAATACTGCAGAACTAAAACATTCATGTACTTAAACTAAGCTAGTAGGAAATGGCATTCAACGATATGACTCCAGAGATCACTGGAATACCTAGAGCACCGACCCCATTGCATGGTTCTTTTTAGCTTGCAAACTTGCTGTCATCGGAACTCACTTATACAAACGATTGTATCTCTTAAATTTCAATTAATCACAGGTCGAATGCCAATTGCAACAAGGAGTTGAATTGCTGTAAAGCAGATATTGAATCCTCGAACCATATTGAGGCTAGCTAAATTCTGCCATTATTAATTGAACTTTCGTTGATCGAAGCTCAAAAAATACGAATAGAAAGGACCTATAAAAGCATCGTCATACCCATTTGCAACTGTCTATTTGCCTTGTTAGCTTTCACGAAAACTTCAAATGTTGAACCATAGTTTCGAATGAGGTTATTCATCCCTCTTGAACACTTTGGATCGAAAGAGCTCCAGATTGAGATCAGGACGTGTAAATTCATGGCTCTCTGTGACTTCATTTCAGTCATACACGTTGTAAATATCATGAGCAAGGGGCTTCAACAAGACAAGACGTTATACGAAAAAAAATCTATATATAGTTTACAACGCTCATTTCACGAAAATAAATTGGGCATGAAAACTAGCAAGTCTAAACTGATATTTCTTGACCTTCAGAGGTACGAACAGAACGATCAACAATGAACACGGGTTTAGGAACTGGTTGATTACCTGAAACTATTTCCAACTGATGATCCCACTCCTCGAGTGTCTAGAATAGAGGCAACAAGAAAGTCAATTGAAAAGTGACGAGGGATCTTTATATGTATGTATTTATTTATTTATTTATTTATTTATTTATTTATTTATGCGTGTGTGTTTGTGGAAAACAGATTCAACGAACTGTGTGGCTCCAACAAGACATTGCAAGAATTAATCCTCGTACCTTCACAAATGACGAGTAGATTGGATCGTCTGCGTCACAACTTACGGGGAGACCAGCCCGAGCTTGTAATTGACATAGTAACGTCCTGTTCTTCACCAGCGTAGTTCTTGCAGCATCTATAAGATCCTGCGCATCACGATGAATGCCCGTCTACAGAGCTTGAAGCCGTCTGATCAAGTGTGATGGCTACAACTTAGATTTGCCTATGCCATGATGAATGTGGCTAAACTTTTCCAGATGGTGCAGCATTCGCTTCTGTTCGAGGCATATCTAACACGATGACAAGCTAATAAAAATTCAATCTGGTAGTTGATGTGACCTGCTTGGCAGCTAAAAGCTTGTCACACTCTTCTCTGAGCAGCGGAAGCTCATCCTGCAATCTTTTCTTGCGGGCAAGCAACTTCAAGGGATTTGCCTGTTTACATGAAAAATAATGGAAAGAAATCGTTAAAAGGAACTATTTCTGCATAAACCTACCATATGGCAGGGGCAGGATGAGTCAAAATGAGATATTGCTTACATTGCCTGGGTAGGTTACTTCAAATTCGTGCTCCAATTTGCTGTGCACAATCTGGGCGTTTGAATCATGGAAAAATCATCAGAATTCGAATAAAAGTAGCTGCTCAGAATAATCGCAAGACGTCTACTAAAGCAATAACGTACCAGAACAATTCCCATCGGCCTCATTAACAAAGTATCTCTTCAGAATATTTTCTAACAAATCCATGTAAACCTTTGAGAACTGCGAGTGCAAATAGTTTCTGAAAATGCGATCAACTTTTCTGGATTCTAACCACCTTGTAGTAATGTTCAAACAACCAATCTTTTCTCAGCTCAAATTATAAACTGCAGATAATCGAACTCAACCTGCAAAATAGCATCCGCCTTGGCAAAATGGGCGTCTATCGTCTTCACTGCGACATGAAAAGCACCGTCCATTCCACCAAATCCTTTCTCCATGTCCGGTCCTTTTTCTCGCCACAACTCCAGCTAATTAAGCCATTCACCCTAAATCCGAATCAAACATTACACCTTTCTGGCTACTCCACCACTATCAGGTACCTCTTCCCAACCTTTCTCCTGGAAAACCAAGCTCCGCCGCAATCAAGAAAATCTTAACCCACGTTAGAACTTCGGATTAACGCTTCGAACAAATCCACAGTTTCGTGAAAATGGTGGCATTGACGATGAATAGTTCCGGCTCTTTGTCGGAGTTTCAAACTTGCAGCGCCAAATCGTCGAAGGCTGTGGGTGTTCACACAGCGCATGAAACCCCGAGGGAGTCTTTGGAACACCGGGAACAATGGGAACATAGGGAACATGTGCAACTTCCGTATAGTGTATATTATATATAAATGTATGTATGTCTGTTGGATAATTTGGACCTTCCATTCTGGGGAAATAATTCACCCGATGAATAAAATATGAAGCCCTCTTCTCAAAAAATGTGATGTTACCAGAACTTCTAATATTTGTTCATCTCTTATCTCATTTTTTGTGAACATGTGGGACACCCATTTTGAAGATTGTAAAAAAAAATAAAAAAACTATATAAGCCTAAAGAATGTATTTTTTTAGTATAATAGCAGGTATTCATTTAAAATTTAATCCAATTAGGTACTATTATTTTTTATATACATTTTATTATTATTATTATTATTATTGATTCTTATGTGATATACCAAAACAAGTGTTATAGTACACTGTATCACCAACTGAGACAAACTAAGTCCAAATCATTCAATTTTCAGCCAATTTTGTAACTAGTTGGTTTTAATTGAAATTAATATAATTTTTAAGACCATAGGAGCATTTAAAGGCATATATACAATTATAAAGTATAAGAGTCTTCAAAAGAAAATATAAAATTATATATATATATATATATATATATATATATATACACATACATATCATTTACATTTAGTTTATATACAATCTATATTATTTTAAATATTATTTCAAAAATGAAAATAGAATAATACAAAAAAATAAGTAATTTAATTAAAATTACTTATTTAAAATAATCTTAGTCATAGTTGCATTTTAGATCTTTTTATGGTTTTTGATTTAAGTTTTTGATATTATAAAGGGAATTTGAGATTTATGCTTTAGAAGTTATGAAATATTTATAATTTATGAAACATGTATAATTTATATAAGCTTCATGGTGTCAATTGATTTCAGTTCATTATCTCAAATTAATTATAATGTGGAGATTTTAAAACCAAGCTTTACTTATGTAGCTTGGTTTGGGATTTTCTATGCCATATATTGGATTTTATTTATTTATTTTTTGACTTAATTTAACTTGACATTTTGAGAGAAGCTAGATCTTGTTGTTAGCTTTTCATCAAGCCTTAGCATGCAAGAAGAGGAGTTTGTGACAAGAGAGATCTATGCAAATTTGTAGGTGGAGGATCACTAGAATTTTTAATAGTGAGATTCAAGTCTGATTTGGAGGTTTCTATGCCATTTATTGGATTTTTTTTCCTTTTTGTTATGAAATTTTGAAAAAAGTTGGATCTTATTATTAGCTTTAAAATAAGCTATTATACTTAAAAATAAGAGTTAAGATAAGAAAAATTTAAGCTAATTTTTAGAAGGGGGTTTTGAAGGTTGTGGTTGTATCAAGCCGCCAATGTTTTCCTTGATTTGGCTCTCAATTTCTTTGAAATTTATTTGTTGACTTTGATATTTTGAAGTTTGTAGCTTGAGTTAAGTTCTATGAACTAGACTTTTCTTAGATTAAGTTAGTAATAAATGATTTATAGAAATTTTAGTAATAAAAAAAGTTTGGATTTGAAATTAGAGTTAGGAATTGAATACATCTTGGGACAAGAAAGAAATTAATCTAAAATTTATACTAATTCTTTGAGCTATATTTTTTTAATTTGAATTCATTTGGACAACATTATGCTTCTTATAATCTACTTATAATTAAGGATCTCATGTTCTCTTGAAAAGGCTTACTTTCTTGATAACAAAACTTTGCAGATGTGTATAGACTATCAAAGACTCAATAAGATTACCATTAAAAATAGGTATTTTCTACCTTTGATTTTAAGACTTCTTGATTAGTTGAATCAAGAAAACTATATACAAAATAGATCTACAAGAAGCATACAAATAGTTCATATTAAGAAATGAAATGAATGAAGAACTGTATTTCAAACTAAGTATGGGCATTTTAAATATAATGTCATGCCTTTTGGACTCACAACTGTATCAATTGCTTTTCAACATCTAATGAATGATATCTTTCATGAATTTCTTGATAATTTTATCATTTGTTATTTAAATGACAACCTAATTTATTTTAACAACACAAAAAGATATGAAGTTTATATTCATTATATGTTAAAAAACTAAGAGATGCAAGATAATATGCCAAAATAAAAAAAATTATATTTCACACTACTCAAGTTGACTTTTTAAGATACATTATTTCAAGCAATGGTTTATGATAGATCTTAAAAAGGTGCAAATTATCATGACTTGAAAGATTTCAAAAACAATCAAAGATGTATAATGTTTTTTGGAATTTTCCAATTATGTTAGAAGATGCATCTTTTGATCAATAAAAAATAATTTTCTTAAAATTAGAGCATTTTCATTTTTGAGCAATAAAATCAACATTGACTATTGATTCAATCTTTATGAAGAAAGTTTAATTAAGTATGTCCTTCAATTCTTTTTTTTCATGATATTAAAAATAATTCTTTTAAGTTTTAATGAATCTTCTAAATTTGAATTCAAGAATAATCTACTATATTTTGAGAGACAATTATACATTCCAAAAAGAAAAGCACAATTACATATTCTTCAAGCTCATCATGATTTTTCAGTAATTAGATAATTTGGATACAATAAGACTTTGGAGCTAATTTCTAGAGATTTTTTGTGACTTCAAATGTAAAAGGCAATCAAAGATTTTGTATAATCATGTAATATTTGTTCAAAATCTAAAACTCTTTGTCATAAATTTTATTGATTTCTTCAATCAATACTTATTTTGGAACAAAAACGATCTTCTATTTCTATGGATTTTATCATAGATCTTTTAGTCTCAGATTTGTATGAATCTATATTTGAGATAGTAGATTATTTTACTAAAATGGCACATTTTGTATTATGTACAAAATCTATCATAGGTGAAGAAATAGCTAAGTTTTTTTTGACAATATTTATTGCTATAATAGATTATTCAAGGATATTATATTAAATAGAAGGACTCAATTTGTATCAAGATTTTAAAGAATTATTTTTAGGATTTTAAAAATAGATAAGAAGCTTTTTTTAGTTTTTTATTCTCAAATTGATGGATAAAAAAAATTAATGAATGAAGTTCTGAAATAATATTTGAGGTATAATATCAACTCTCATTAAGATGATTGAATAATTCTTTTGTCATTGACAAAGTTTATATATAATAAAAAGATACATTCTTCTATTCAATAAATACCTTTATTTGGAAATTATGATTATCATCCATAACTTGATACTTTTAACTTTTTAAAAGTTGATAATCTTATAGCAAAAGATTTGGCAAATCGTTTGTCAATACTACATGCAACAATGAAGGCATAGTTAATAGAAGCTTTAGAATAACAAAAGATCAATACATATACTTATTGCAAAGAACAACTAAAATTCAATGTAGGTGACAAGGTATGGTTATTTTGTTCTAATATCAAGACTACTCATCCTTGTAACAAATTAAATTATTGTAAGATTAGATTTTTATTTTTATTTTTAAATAAGTCAATTATGTTGCTAATTGATTATATCTATTAGAATTTATGAGGATCCATCCCATATTCTACATATATCTTCTTAAATCATATAACATAGTCAATATCTTGGAAAGAAGACAAATGCCACTTCTTTCTTTAGAAGTAGATAATAATTAAGGATTCAAGGTGAAAAAAGTCTTATATTTAAGGTGACCCCAAAATAGATTAGAATACCTTATTCATTGATGCAAATATAATATTAGTGAATACATTTAGAAGGCAACAAAGAATCTTGTAAATATAGTAGAGAAGGTTGAGGCTTTTTATCAACAACATCTAGTAAAACCAAGATGAAGAATAATAAATCTTTACTATTATAGAAATAAGATTTAGAGAAGATAGCATTGTACCTTCTATTTTTGTTTGTAGCTTTTGTGTATTTGTAGTACTTAATAGATAGAGAATCAACAACCAACAAATTCAACTCAAAAGCAATTGTTTGTTGATTCATTGGACAAGACACTACAATTGTGACAACTTTCAAGACAACATAATCAAGATAAAAATCCTCAAGAATAATATATCCTTTCTTAAATAGATGGCAAGATATAATGTGTTTAGTATCACAACCTTGGAAGATATTCTCAATGATTGGTGATTTTATTACAGATAAAAATAATTTTTTACAGTATTTCAAATGTTTTATTTGAAAAGAGTTATAAAGGCCTCAGCAACAGTTAAATAATATGGTAGTCTTTTTGCTATGATATAAAATACTATTGATAGTTGAGAGGACCTATCAACTATCTTCAAAGAGAATAAAGATCAAAATATGTAGCAAACACAATTTGTTGTATCTTAGATTTTTTCAATGTATGATGTCTACTTTTCATGGAACTTCTTCCTAAAAGAAGATAATATTACAAACATATATATACAATGATTCAAAAAATTATTTCAATATTGATATATTTTAGAAAGAATGGTGTATTATATATGAATTATATTAAATAATGACACGTGGTTTATATAGCAAATAAAGTACTTCTTTACAACTACCAAATGAACCGAGGTTGAAAAGAATCTATTAGGTAATTGCATAGCTATGACCAATCTAATTTAAAGTAGTGTTAAAATAATTTTTTAGGTGTGGTGTCTAATTTTTGGATTCTATAAATTATTTAATATTATAGCATTCTATCATCATCAAATTTATTATGATAATATTAATACTAATCTAATAATATCATTAATATCTAATAACAATTATAAAATTACTATTTTTAATCACAATTTCTAGTACGAACATATTCCAAATTATCTCATTTTAGAATCTTCTAAAATCTTTTGTAAATTTTTAGCACCTTTTAGATATTTGTAGAATCTTCTATAATCTTTTAGAAAGTTCCATAGGCTTTTAGAAGCTTCTTTATTCTTCTAAAAACATCTATAGAAAGTACTATAGACTTTTATAACCTTCATTATAGTATAAATAGGAATCTTTGG